TAAAACGAGTTTTTGATGCTCTGTTTTTATGGATAAAAACAAAGTGCTACCACATTCCAATTTTGGCCGCGTTATTAATGTTCTTGTCCTTAAGATAATCGTAGCCAAAGTCAAAGGAATTCCTATGTTTTTCAAGTTAAAGAATTCATAAGGAAGAGTGCACGTTGAGCCTATTGAGACTAGCATAGGCATTCGTAGAATCAGACATTGTCCGGATTTTAATGATAATATTGAAAATTCCTGAGGATCCAGGCCCTTGAACGTAATATTTGCCTTGACCGCGAAATAGCAGAGGATCGTATAATTTGAAGCCAAATAGATATAATGTTCAATGCCGGCGGTGCGTTACTTGCCAAACGCGCAAAATAAAGGAGCTCGAGAAAAAATCTCGCCAGGGCCCCGGAGCAACAACCGGTTTTACAGGATTAAATTCTGAGCCGCGCGCTCGCGAGCAAATACAATTTTTGTACGTTTAAATTTTCTACAGCACCAATCTCCTCCTCCTCTTCTCCCCCCCCCCGTAACATCATAACGGCCATCCCAGAAAATCTCATTGGAGCGTGTCGGTCGTTATTGCTATTTGAGCTTATAGACGCTTCAAAGGCAAAGAGTCGTCGTCGTCGTCGTCGTCGTCGTCGTCGTCGTCGTCGTCGTCGTCGTCGTCGTCGTCGTCGTCGTCGTCGTCGTCGTCGTCGTCGTCGTCGTCGTCGTCGTCGTCGTCGTCGTCGTCGTCGTCGTCGTCGTCGTCGTCGTCGTCGTCGTCGTCGTCGTCGTCGTCGTCGTCGTCGTCGTCGTCGTCGTCGTCGTCGTCGTCGTCGTCGTCGTCGTCGTCGTCGTCGTCGTCGTCGTCGTCGTCGTCGTCGTCGTCGTCGTCGTCGTCGTCGTCGTCGTCGTCGTCGTCGTCGTCGTCGTCGTCGTCGTCGTCGTCGTCGTCGTCGTCGTCGTCGTCGTCGTCGTCGTCGTCGTCGTCGTCGTCGTCGTCGTCGTCGTCGTCGTCGTCGTCGTCGTCGTCGTCGTCGTCGTCGTCGTCGTCGTCGTCGTCGTCGTCGTCGTCGTCGTCGTCGTCGTCGTCGTCGTCGTCGTCGTCGTCGTCGTCGTCGTCGTCGTCGTCGTCGTCGTCGTCGTCGTCGTCGTCGTCGTCGTCGTCGTCGTCGTCGTCGTCGTCGTCGTCGTCGTCGTCGTTCGGCAATGCTCAAGCTTCGTCGACTTGACGAGCAGTTTGCAAAATGCAAATTCAAAGATGTATCTCTGGAGGTTGCGCCACTCAATGCCGCCGAAACGAAGGGACTCGCGTTGAGCCGATCTATTATCAGCAATCTGCAAGGCAGATTCGCGATGGACCGAGAGGAAAGATCGGGAGGAGGGAAGAGGGCGGAGGGAAGGGAAGACACAGGGTCGGACCGAACGCTCAAGCGTTGTGTACTCGATCGTCGTCGCCGCCCCCTCCCCCCTCTCCACAGCCCTTTCCCAATCCTGAGGGTAATAACGTACGGCGTTGCCGCGTTGATATGGCACGGCTCTACACATAAGCCCTTCGAGTTTACTGCTTTTTCATTAATATGCGGTCGATGATGGCTTTTCACAGCGCTTGTCACACGCTGAAATTGAGCTTTTGTTCTGCTGAACTTCCTGCGATCAACTTTTAATAGATTCTTGCCCCCTCGTCACTCTCCATTCCCCGGAACCTCCTACACCTCCTACCCCATCAACACCCCGCTCTCCATCCCTCGTATCATCCAGGACGGAGAGAAAAGTTTTAAGCGCGCCATTTGCAAAACGTTGCGATAAAAGAATTTCTCAGTTTTTACGCATCTTCGAGCGTCGATTTGATTTACGTTAGTGGGTGGGAAGGCCGAGGGGTAAATGATTATTATGCTCGATATAAGAGCCGCCGTGCTTGGTGAGAATAAAAAATAGTTTGCATTTTACGCAAGAGAGACGGATTTTCACAAGATTCACTTGTCAGCGGCATAATATTTAGACAAAGCAATTGCGATGGAAACAATGATAGCTTCATTACGTGATAATGTATGACAGTTACGCAAATCCTAGTCGGTCGCCGGCTCAAGAGAATGTCAGGTCAGTCACGTATTTTCTCGGACATTTAATTCTTATTAAAATATAAGTGATGGAAGCGAGGGGCATGCATACGGATTTTAATAAGAAATAAATTTTTCATAATCGCGTTCTGCTCTCGAATTATTCTTATTCGAATTAGTCTTATTTGTCCTTAGTAGATATTCCTAGTCAACGTGCCTAAGCGTAACTATACAATAGTATAGTCAGTCGTTATTAACAGTCCTTTCTCGAGACCATATAAAAGCAATAAAAATATAAAATGCTATATTTATTCTATTTTTTTTTTTTTTTAAAAATTTTTTTTTTTTTTTTTTTTTTTTTTATTTATTTTTTTTATCCACGTAGTAATGTATCGTTGCTTTCACGCGATCGTTATTTGTATTATTTGCTATATTATTTATGGTTACCGAATGGTAGACCGATACCACACGCATATGAACATAATAGTATTTCGTGTATTAAAATATTCAAATGAGTTTTTACAAATTTCCCTTTATTTTCTTCATTTTAATTTTCATGCTTTTGCTACGCTCGTAATTCAATTTTATTATTTTGCCGTCGTATTAAAAAAATTACTACAATACTTTGTTGTATGAATTTGAGTTTATATATATATATATATATATATATATATATATATAAAGATAATTACAATTTAAATTCTCGCACGTTGCTTCGACAAGCATAAGACAATAATTATCGATAATTGTAAAAATGCATTTGTAAATGGTTTGTTGCGTGAACAATCCTTGAAAATGTGAACATAATATAAAAATAATAATCGCTCTCATATTCAATACATAAAACAACCAAATGATTGAAATTTATGCACACATTACTGTCAAAGTAGGCATTATCGTTAATGATAAATAATCGTAATAGAGAAAACACAATGCCACGATAGTAGCACAACTGTAATGTAATGAAATTGTATTTGCCATGATAAAATTTGATAATTTCTTTTAATAAAACTAAATGGTCGAATAAATTTACATGAGGAAAATGCTTGTTTGGATTTATTAATGTTGAAAGGTTAGATATTTCAGTCAGAAGTCATCAATTTTAATCAGAATGCGAGATATAGAATATTAAATACTTGACAGTCGTAATAGGGATTTTATATAGATGAGTTTTATCGATTTTTTTTTTCTCTCTCTCTTTAAAATCTCTTTAGTATAATCATTGCATTTATGACTATTTTAATACTCGAGTGAAATTTCTTTCGTCCTAAATTTTATAGCAAAAAATTTTTTTTTTTTTTTTTAGCAATTTCCA